CAACGAACGAACCTAAGAACTCCGAGAGGACTGTGTTCATAAGCGTCTGAAACGTCGCTGGGGCGTTGGTCAAACTGAACGGTAGAACTCTAAACTCGTTCAACCCCTGCTTCATACGAAACGCCGTCTTATGCTGGTCCTCTGGAACTACGCGAATCTGGTGGTAACCCGAACGAAGGTCGATCTTGGAGAAAACTCTAGCGCCTTGCACTGCATCTAGGAGATCCTCTACTCTTGGCACCGGAAACCTAGTCTTGACGGTGGCGGCGTTCAGTGCGCAGTAATCTATGCACATCCGTAACCCTCCGTCTTTCTTGGGTGCGAAAAGGATTGGTGCTGCCCAAGGCGATCTAGATGGCTGAATGAAACCTTGCGCGAGAAAGTGCCTAACCTGCTGCGTCATCTCCTCTGTCTCTGCTGGACTCAACCTCCACTGCGGCTTCGCTACTTGCATGCTCCCCGGCTCTAACTTTATCCGATGGTCGGCTGCTCGGCTAGGAGGTAACCCCGGGGGCAACTCGTCGGGGAAGACGTCTCTAAACTCTGCTAAGAGTGCACTCACTTCAGCAGGAAGAGTTGTCTTATCGCCAACTGTTGCGCTCCCTCCTTTCCCCTCCTCAGCTTCCACCTCCTCAAGGAAAACCGCGAAGATCCGTGCCGCACGCTTCACTAATTGTCGCACACGAACAGCACTAAAGATAGCTATGGATGATGTGGTCCCATCGCTCCACCGTGGCAGCTCCCGGAACTCCCCGTCTACCTTGACGCTGCAGCTTCCCTGAGCCCAATCAAAGTGAGTACTAACCGTGCGTAGCCAATCCCTCCCGAAGATAAAATCGTATCCGTCCAGCGTTGCAGAGTCGAAATCACGCCTAACTGTGATCGGTCCTAGCACTACGTGCAACTTGCGGATGATCAGTCCTATGTGAAGCGGCGTCCCATCTACCATGCGAGCATCCTTGAAGTTGACTGCTGAATCTGCTTCAAGATGGAGACGACTAACTAGCGATGAAGACACGAACGAGTGGCTGGCTCCGCTATCTACGAGAATCTTGACTGGTACTCCGCGAAGCTTCCCTAGAAGCACAACTGGACGATCAACCGTGTCTATCGAGTTCTCCGTAGATGACTACTGCGAGGCCGTCTCCTCTACGTTGGTAGACGTGGCGGGTACGACAACCTCCACACCAGCTAGCGACCCGCTATCTACTGGCGGTTTCCGTTTCCCTGCTGCCGCTCCTTAAGCTGTGGGCAGTCCCGCTTCATGTGTCCCGGCTTTTTGCTATAGTGATAGTTCCCCCTAAATCCCGTTTTCTGTGAGCCGTCACTGTTAACTGCACCAATCTCCATGGGCGACGGTCCGTCCCTCGATCGAGCATCGTTGATCGGTTTGTATCCCCTATCGCGATCGTCACGACCCCGTCGGCTTCGTACTGTGTCGACGCGTTCTGCTGCTGCGACTACCGACTCGAAGGTGGACAATCCGTGAATCGCTATAACCTCCGCTATGTCCGGCTTCAACCCTTCGAGGTAGCGATCGCGCATCTCTGCTTCCGTGATGTCGTCTATTTTGTTGCAGATGCTCAAGAACCGTCGTGTGTACTCCTGGACGTTGCCTATCTGTCGGAAATGACGCAGACGCTTCCTAGCAGCTTCGGAGGCATTCACCAAATCGGACCTACTTTTCAGCGCCGCTTCAAATCCTTCCCATGTGGTCGGAACCGTGGTAACACCCAAAGCTAGACTACCTAAGCTCGAAGTTGCAGCTGCATGCCCCACGCCCTGTTGATGCCCGTCTGACTGAGCCCTTCTAACAGTAGTCTGCGTAAGTTGGCGCCACCACTCCAAGGCCGGGCCCCTCAGCAACGTCACAGCGTACTCGATCCGCTGCTGCGCGTCCGCCTCTTGCACCCCGCTCGCGGCGAAGTAGTTGTTCAGCATGAAGAGCCACGTCCGCACGTTCGCGTCGCATTGACTTGGGTCGAACGACTCGGGTTTCTGCGGCTTGAGTGCGCTTCGACGTTCCGGCAGCACTTCCGCGCCAGTCGACGTGTTGAGTGCAGGAGATGGTGCGGCATGACCATGAGAAATTGACGCGAATTCACGAAGCTGTTGCATTTCAGCTTGTACCTGGCGATTTTCCAACGTCAACTATTCGAGTTGGCGCATGAGTTGAGCAAGCGCATTGCCCATGTCGTTGGGGAGGGCGTTCATGGTCTCGTCCATGTTGGCTCGACGACTCCAAGTCTGCAAGTCGGCACCGCGGGACGATGACGTCGTAGTCTCGTCATCGACGGTTGCTCGTTGGAAGTCGCTCCCCGCGAAGGCTCCTGATACCAAGTGTTAGGCACGATGGCCTAAGTCCGCTAAATAATTACCGGGGGCGACAAAGTCGAGGATGAAATGCGGCGGAAGACTTTGGCGAAAGAACTATTGGCGAAATAGGCGAGGAAGTTACTGAATAATTGAAGAAGAGTTGAATGAGAATTGATTGATATTGGTGGATACAAGCAAGGATGATATAGCATGCAAGATCGAATGTCGGAAAGTACTCAGTGGGACTAGGAAATGTGAGGAAAAGAAAGTAGAGAGCCACGTGGCACTAGGAAATCTAGAAAGATAAGATCAGGATGAGTTGGATGGGTTGGGAAAGTACTGTTCAAAAGGAATAGTAAATCCCCCTTCAACACAGTGGTGGTGGGTGGATTCATCAGGTGTTCAGGCAGGTGGTTATGCGGACAATTATTGGTAACTACGCGCCGCTAAATCAATGCAAGACTTGTCGTCGCGTAATGCGGCGACAACAAAATTTTCGTCTCGCCGATGATTGTTGAAGAGATAATGACATGACTAAGACTGTAACAGAACCTTTAGTTATAATGAGTTTCTCAAAAATGAAATGATATTTTCTCTAATGTACTCCTCAGCACATCTGACTTCAGTTACATACCATCATACCCAATTTGCTGCAATCAAGAACTGCTCTGCCTATCGAACCTTTTCAAACCAATCCTACCCCTTTGGACTCTTGTATGCCTAAGTCGGTTTGTTGCCTCTCTTTTTGCGAATCAATTAGCCATTAACCCATATACTGTCAAGAAAGGAACTGATGATGTCATTGATGTGAGTTGGGGTACATATGACAAACCCTAATCTCTGTACCCCCTAAGACAAACCTTACTATAGGCTACAACATTTGACACACCCCCATAGCCTAAGTGAGGGGTGTCTAGCAAAACCAAAAGTGTATGGTCACAAGACCAGTCACAAAGATACAAAGCTCAGGGTGGATCACAACGTCACCACACACTCTGAGCACAAGCAACAGTAGCCACAAGGCCAGTCCAAGAGTTCGCAAGTGTGTATAGCAAGAGTACAAGCAAAGCAAACAGTAAACCCAAGCCTATACACGATTAGAACCTGTGTCAACAAGGCCTAACTGCACACAACACCTCTGGTGGTCAAAAGGTGGAAGCGCCTTGGTGAAGATGTCCGCAGTGTTGGCCTCGGACTCCACAAACTCGAAGCGAGCCTGTCCACATCTCTGCAACTCTCGCAGAAGGAAGTACCTGACGTAAATGTGCTTCATGTCAGAATGTTATTATCTAGCCTGTAGTGGGGTGCTCTGTAGCGAGTACAACCTTGTTAGGGTTTGCTATATGTATCCCAACTGCTGCTAGTGAAGCCCTTCCTTTCTTCATTTCTCTCTTGCCTAGCTAGCTAACCCTAGCTATGGCTCCTCACTATGCTTATGATTCTCACACTTCACTCTGCTCTCCAGTCGCGGCTCACGACAGAGGAGAATCGACGCCTTGCTGTCAGTGAACAAGGTCAGTGCAGAGCTCGGCCGCTCACCAAGGTCAACGAGAAAAAACGTCAACCAACGCAGCTCCTGTGCCGCCATGGCACCAGCGTAGATCTGAGCCTCAGCTGTAGAGTTCGAGACCGAAGAGGAGCGCATGGACCGCCAGGAAACAGCTCCAGAACCCAAGCTGAAACAGTACCCCTGAGTAGACCTGTGAGTCTCAGCGTCGTCAGCGTAAGAAGAGTCACAGTGACCAGTAAGTACGACAGGTTGCTGCCCTCCAAGAACTAGCCCCACGCCTGATGTCGTCGCTAGGTACTTTGCCACCCTCACAGCTGCTGTCCAGTGAAAAGGACGGTGCCTCCCTGGCGCAACAAAGCGAGCAAGGACGCTGAGAGGGAAGGCGAGGTCCGGGCGAGTACAAGTCATCAGGTACATGAGGCAGCCCACTAGCTCTGCGTAGGGACCACTGGACTCAAACGGCTCGTCAGGAAAGGGTCCAGTGAGTCTGTGGTCAACAGCAAGAGGTGTGCGCTGTGCTATGGAGTGCTGAAGCTCGAACCGCTGAAGGACCTGTTGCACCATGTGTGACTGTGAGAGTGTAATGGTGCGAGCAGCTCTGTCCCTGGTGATCTGCAGGCCAAGGTAGTGACGCAGCTCACCAAGGTCAGTGCACGTGTATCTCTTCTGCAGTTCAGACTTCACATCTGCCAAGGCAACTCTGTCTGCAGTGGCAAAAACCAGGTCGTCGACGTAGACTAGAACAAAGAACGGTGTGGAGCCACGACGAACGAACAGCGACGGGTCGGCAGACGAAGGCTTAAAACCAAGGTCAGCGAGAGTGGAACGAAGGGTGTCGTGCCACTCACGAGGAGCCTGACGGAGACCGTAGACTGGTCGCCTCAGCCTCTACTGGGTCCCAGGAGGGAAAGTGCAAGGGAAGGCAGAGGGACGACGCAGCCAGACCTCCTCGTGTAGGCTACCCTGAAGAAACGCAGTGGAGAAGTCGAGAGAGTGTAACTCGTAGTCTCTCTGTGCTGCTACGTGCAGTAACATCCGAAGACTGGTCATCTTCGGGGTGGGCGCGAAGGTCTGAAAGAAGTCAACTCCCTCGCACTGACTGAAACCTCTAGCCACGTAGCGTGCCTTGAAGACCGGAGGAGATCCCGGTGGCCGCTTCACCCTGTAGATCCACATGCCATCGACTACGTTCGTCCCGGGGGGGGAACCTCGTCGACGTAGGTGCCTGTGAATCTGTAGGAGGCCATCTCTGCGTCCATGGCAGCTCTCCACTGAGAGGCCCAAGGCCCTGACACTGCCTCAGCGTAAGTGCGAGGAGTCGGTATATCAACGGCGTCGGGGTCTCCCTCAGGGGCGAGCAGCATGGCACAGAGATGAGGGGAAGCAGTTGCCAGGAACTCTAGCTCAAACTGTCTGTCCTCTAGGGCGTCACAGCCAAGAGCAGACACACCCCCGACGGCAGGAGGACTGGAAGGAGGAGCAGCCACAAGACTCGTGGCGGAGTCAAGGCAGCGAGTAGAGGCAAACTCAGTGACTGCGGCAGTAAGAGTGGAGACAAAGGACACAGAGGCACGAGGGTCGGTAACAAGAGAGGCAAGAACACGAGAGAGAACAGGACGGTACGTGCGGTAGTAGTCAGTGACAGGAGTAGAAAGCGAAGCAGTGAGGGCCGACTCAGGAGGAGACTGAAGCACAGACTAAGACTTACGAGGCCAGTGAAGGGAACAGGGGACGAGGGACGAGCACGAGGGGAGCGACGAGAGGCCCAAGTCTGAGAAGGAGGAGGGGACAACGAAGACTGAGATCGAGGGAAAACAGCTGGAGAGGGGTCAGGAGGAGGAAGCGGAGGACCCGAGGCGGGAGGAGATGGGGAGGAGGAAGGAGAGCGGGAGGGGAGACCGAGGGCCCGAAGACCAGAGACAGGAGGAGGAGGCTGCTGCTGCTGCTGCGGCGGTGGCGGCGGCGGCGGCGGCTGCTGCTGCTGCTGCGGCAGCGGCTGCTGCTGCTGCGGCGGCGGCTGCTACTGCTCCTCCTGCTGCTGTAGCGGCTCCAGCTCCTGCGCCTCCTGCTACTGCGGCGGCTCCAACTCTAGCTGCTCCTCACGGGCACGGCGAACATGAGCCTGGTGCCGGGTCGGGTAGGGGTGGGGGGGAGGAGTAATGTCGGGGGCTGCGGCAGCCCCGGGACCGCCCTCCAAAGCACCTGGCGCACCACCCCTAGAGTCAGCACCACCAACAGCAACACGACCAGGCTCACCAGGACCCGAAGAGGGTGCACCCGCACCCCGAGACATAGCACCCCAAAAGTCAGCAGGTACAGCACCAGCTCCCGGAAGACAAGAGTCTCCTGCAACCACGGGCTCAGCTCCAACTCCAGCACCCCAAGTGCTAGCAACTGTAGGGCCCTCTCCACAAGCACCGACTCCCACAGGGTCTGCAGCAGGCTGCGAGGAGGACTGCAGGGAAGGAGGCTGCACCTGAGGGGCTACCGAGGGGGGAGGGGTAGCCTGGGACACACCCGACAGGGCAGGACCAAGGGGGGGAGGCTGTACCGGGGGAGCAGGAGGGGGAGCGGAAGTTAGGAAGAGAGGGGGAGGAGGAACCGGGAGACCTCGACTGGGGTACCTGACGTAGTAGGGGGTGGACTCCTCGAAACGGACGTCACAGGAGTCAAAGAACCGGTGAGAGGGAGGGTGGTAAAAGGTGAAGTCAGAGGAGTCCTCAGGGAAACCAAGGAAGACACAGGGAACGGCGCGTGGCGAGAGCTTGTCCGCGGTTGTGTCGCGGACAAGAGCCAAGCAACCCCAGACACGAAACCTCGACGCAACACCAGGGGACCTGGTCCAAAGACTGGTCGGTGAAGCCTCTGGCCAAGTGACGCGTGGCCACAGGTTCAGCTGGTGAGCGGCGTACCTACCCGCGTAGGGCCACAGAAAATGGGGGGCACGGGCGTGAGTCAAGGAGGTGCGGGCGATCTCCATGACCAAGCCTATGCGGCGCTTAGCAACCCCATTCTGCTATGGGGACTCTGGAAGCGTCCAGGACTGGCTAATGCCCTGCTCGTGACAGAATCCACCGAGAATGCCGGAGCGAAACTCACCCCCACGGTCAAAGTGAAGACAGCTGACACGACGACCACGAGTGCCCTCTGTGGTAAGCAGCCACCTGATCAGCGTAGAAGTCACCTCAGACTTCTTTGCCAGGGGGAACACTGTGGTGTAGCGGGAGTAGTCGTCAACGACCACCAAAAAGAAACGCTCGCGCTCAGGGCCAAGGCAAGGGGCGGGGCCCCAGACGTCCAAGTGGAGCGTCTCAAAAGGCTCGGTGGCCGGACGAAGGGAGGAGGAGTGAGGGGTGGCGCGCAGCCGACCCTCGACGCAGGGATCGCACGGCGGTGCAAGCGAAGGCGGCAGAGACGGCAAGACACGCGGGAGGCCTAAGACAAGACGCTGACGAGACATAGCGCGCAGACGAGGGATGGATGGGTGCCTCGTCCGGTGGTGCCACAGAACGGTGGGGTGTGCAAGTGACCGGCAGGAGCACGACGCAACAACTGGACCAGACACGGGAACCTGACCAGACACAGCTACCTGGGAGGACGCAGCAACCTGGTGAGACGCAGGGACCAAACTGGGGGAAGTAACCGGGGCCAGGGGCAGGAGTCGCTGCTGCTGCTGCTGTTGCCGCCGCCGTTGCTGCTGCTGCTGTTGCTACTGCTGCACACCAGGGTCAGTGTGAAGTGTGTAGAGACCTGAGCCCGGCTCCGCTGTAAAGGTGGCAAGAGGCGCGTAAGTGTCTCCGTCAACACAAACCGCCGTCTCACCAGAGGGCTCAATCCACACACCCACGTGCTGACTCACAAGAGGCCTCACGCCCACCAAGTTCCTCAAGAACGAGGGGACATGGAAGCCAGTCAGAGACCCAAAAGGGACAGCAGGGCACGAAAGAGAAGTAGTGTAGCGAGCAGTGACTGGTCCCGAGGTGGGATCAGCCAGTGCCACAGAGACTGGCGCAGGAAGCGGAGTAAGTGTCGTGTGGTCCCTGAAGAAGCAGTGCGAAGCCCCAGATTCCAAAGTGAAAGACAGCGAAGCGTCCTCAGAACGATCTCCTGGACTAGTGTCTACACAAGTGCCTACACTAGCAAGAGGCAACTCAGCAAGATAAGCACCTAAGCTAGCAACACTCAAGTAAACAAAGTCAGAAGCACTAGAGTCAACAACAGCTTACAAAGCATGAGGAGTTCCTAAGAGATCAAGCAACTGAGAAGCTGGCATGCCTCAAAGGGCAGGGCCGTACGTCTAAACAAGAGGAAACTAGTCAGGGGCAGGGCCTCCAACGCTGTAGGCCAAGCGAACCGTGTCAGTGAGCTGAGCAAAGCACTGACCAGGAGTGTGGGTGCGACCACAAGGCTGGCCTCGGCGAGCACGTGTCAAAAGTTGATAGGTGCATGAAGGGTGAACAACACCTCGTTGAGGCTGACGCTATCCTGGCCCCAAAACATGCTGCTGCCGCTGTTGCTGCGGGGCTGCTGCAAGGGGAGGGGCTGCTGCTACTACTGCTGCTGATGCTGCTGCTGGGCCAGATACCACGCCGCTGCTCCACCCGCCGCGGCTGGCAGACCAGAAGGTGGCTGACGAGCCCGGGCCTCGCCTCCACCAGCTGCAGTAGCGGGGTCGCCGGCCGCTGCACGAGACGCCTCTCCAGGCCCTGCACCCCCGCCGCCACCAGACGGCACGCCACCCCCGCCACCTCCGCTGCCAACGCCTCCACCGCCGCCGCCACCTGTACAGCGACCGCCCCTCTTGCCACCTCTACCTCGAGACCGCGAAGAAGTCGTAACAGCAGCTGCGGTCACGTCAGTAGCAGCTGTGGCGAGAGAGTCTGTAAAGGTGGGCAGCTGAGGGACAGTGCACCCGTGGAACAGTGGAGGGGGCACAGCACCAGAGGCGGAGGCTACGGAGCGGAGGTTGCTCTTGACGTCCTTGAGCGCAGACTCAAGGACCTCGATACTGAGCTCACTAGGGTGCTTCAGAAGATGCGTGTCACGGACTGAGGCAAGGCGGTCAGGGAGGGTAGTGGCGATGAAGTAGATAGTAATCGCCATGGGGGGAGGGAGCAGTGCAAGCTGTGCGTCAGTGCAGGCAGCGCGGTAGCTAGAATCAAGCGAGCGGAGGTGAGCAATCAAGTCAGCACAGCGCTCAAACGAGGCGAGGTCAGGGAACAGGAACGGTAGGAAGAGTCGGCCAAGAGAGACAGTGGTGGGAGTAGCGTAGCGGGCCTTAATCGCAGTCAGGAACTCACTAGCAGGGCGAGCCTGAGTGAAGTGGGCCTCCTCAGACTGAGGGAGGAGGCTGCTAAGAGCGATGCAGGCCGCAGCATCACGCGACTTCCACGTCGTTAGGTCAGCACGCTGGCTGGCAAAGCGGGCTCTAGCAGCGTCGTCAGGGGCAGAGCCTAAAGGCGTAGGGTCGTCGGGCGCAGGAAGGTCACCAGTAGCGTGCGCCCAGAGGGACTCATCCGTCTGGACCTGACTCTCTAAAAGGCGACGCGCGCGCAGGAGCTAGATCGAGAACTCGAGGGGTCGACCGTCAGTGTCAAAACGAAGAACTCTAGGAGTCGCCATAGTGGAAGTACGAGCGACAGGCAGCGTAGAAGAGCAGAGGGAGGGCTCGCAGCAGGCCTAACAGGCAGGCGCAGCGGCGGAGAAAACGAGTAGACGTGGCAGCGCGAGCAAGCAGGCACGCGTGCAGAAAGAGACAAGACAGCACAGCGGGCGAAGGGCGGGCGTGCGTAGAAACGGGTGCAGCGAGCACTCAGGCGCAGGGCGTGGGGAGGCGCGGGCGCAGGGCGCGGGGAGGTAACAGGCGCAGGGCGCGGGGAGGCGCGGGCGCAGGGCGCAGGGCGTAGGGAGGCGACGAGCACCGGGCGCAGGGCGTAGGGCGCGGGGAGGCACGGGCGCAGCGGGCGCGCGGGCGTAGGGACGACGCGGCGGGCGCGTAGGGCAGGGGTAGAGACGCGACGGCGGGCAGGCGCGACGCGACGGGCGTTTGGGCAGCGGGGAGAGGGCGCGTCACGACGAGTAGCGGGGGAGGGCACGACGGGACGACAAGCGGGGAAAGCGCGACGGGACGACGGGCGGGGAGAGCGCGACACGACGGGGGCCGGGGAAGGCGCGATTCGACGGGCAGCGGGGTGAAAAACGCGACTCGACGGGCAGCGGGGGGAAAAACGCGACTCGACGGGCAGCAGGGGGGGGAAACGCGACGGGCAGCAGGGGGGAGGGGGGGGGGAAAAGGTCGCTACGCTACGAGAGCAGTGGATCGGCGGAACGAGTGGTAACGAACGAACGCGAATAGAGCGGGCCGGCGCTAAGCTCGGGCAAGACGTGCGCAACTAGTACGACAGAGTGAGACAGGCTCAGGCGAAACGAACGAGGTCGGGAGGAGCGGGATCCCACAGGATCCGAACCTAGGTGATACCATGTCAAGAAAGGAACTGATGATGTCATTGATGTGAGTTGGGGTACATATGACAAACCCTAACCTCTGTACCCCCTAAGACAAACCTCACTATAGGCTACAACATTTGACATATACTCCATGATCCATTGTTTTACGATCACAAAATTATTTATCAATACAGAACTTCTTGTGAGCTGCCCTATCTTAATACAATCAAATGGTGATTCCTATGTCAGTATATGTCTCCTACCGTATGTCAGCTTTGTCTTGCTCTCTCTCAGCCAAACCATTCTGGCCAGTGTTGTCTCATACGGCCAAGTGGTGATAGTCAGGGGGTAGACCATAACATTCTCCCATGCTATTTCCCTCAGCTCTTTCCTGTGCTCTCTCAGCCATGCCCCAGTGTCAGCCACATTGACTCCTTGCTTATAAAATAGATGCCGTAGATTCAAAGGGTCAGCGCATGTCAGCCATTCAGCCCTCTCCTGTGCTTTCTCAGCCATGCCACCGTGTCAGGCACTGTTGTCTCATGCGGAAGAGGGGTGGAAGTCAAAGTTACTCGTGCTCAGTCGCTCAGCTCACTCCCTTGTGCTCTCTAAGCTAACGTTAGCTGGTTTCTTCTCTCTTCCTTCCCACACTGCTCCTTCAGATTGGGTGAGACCAGGAGGTATAAACCAAGAGTGCAGGGAGGAGGAGCCAGGAAGCACGGGTCCAGAGAAACAGGAGTGCAAGCGGTCCGTTTAATCAGTGAAGGATGTGACAAGGGTGATACGCGCGGACGGAGTGCTGTACTAACAGGTGTTGAAATACGTAATTCAACTGAATCCACCCTCCCACAAATGCATATGCACGCACCACCTAACCCTCTCACTCACGCATGCACCAGCCCAAACGCTACCCTGCTACACTAGAGAAACAACGGGAAAAAAAAATCTAAATAATAAAAAAAAATCCCATGCACCACACCTCACCACTCCATGCACCACATCTCACCACTCCATGCACCACATCTCACCACTCCATGCACCACATCTCACCACTCCATGCACCACATCTCACCACTCCATGCACCACATCTCACCACTCCATGCACCACATCTCACCACTCCATGCACACATCTCACCACTCCATGCACCACATCTCACCACTCCATGCACCACATCTCACCACTCCATGCACCACATCTCACCACTCCATGCACCACATCTCACCACTCCATGCACCACATCTCACCACTCCATGCACCACATCTCACCACTCCATGCACCACATCTCACCACTCCATGCACCACATCTCACCACTCCATGCACCACATCTCACCACTCCATGCACCACATCTCACCACTCCATGCACCACATCTCACCACTCCATGCACCACATCTCACCACTCCATGCACCACATCTCACCACTCCATGCACCACATCTCACCACTCCATGCACCACATCTCACCACTCCATGCACCACATCTCACCACTCCATGCACCACATCTCACCACTCCATGCACCACATCTCACCACTCCATGCACCACATCTCACCACTCCATGCACCACATCTCACCACTTCACCACGTCACGCAACACACCTTACCACACCACATCACAACCCACGCCACGCACCACACCACACCATGCTTCGTCCCTGTTTACGGCTATGGCTGCCCCAACACTGGCAGGTGCGCTACTCCCGCGGCCTTCGCGCCAAAGCTCCCAATCTCCTCCATCGTCGCGGCGTGTGCGTGGCGCGCAATCGTTCCGCTTCCCGCCATCAGTCCCCCCGCCACTCCGCCAACAACGAGCCCCGCAGCCGTATTCGCTAACACTTCATGCCCGTGCTCGATCACCGCTTTGTGCGCGATCCTCCCCGCGCTGCGCGTCAAGTCCGACGCGCTCTTCGTCAGAGTCTTACCCGGGTTGTTGACAACATAGCCGGCCGCGTCTCTGACAGCCTCGGCGCTGTTTTGGAAACCCTTCGTGAACGAGTTCCCTGCGTTCGTGAAGCTGTTACTGAGTCCCTTCGTCCAGCCGCGGAAATATCCTCCTCCTGACTTTGAGTCTGCCACGGGTTCAGCCACGCGATCAGCCACCTGGTCAGCCGCGTGGTTACCCGCGGGGACATTCGTGGTAGCCCCCATGGCCCAGTGCGCGCCCTCTTCCTCCTTCTCCTCCACGCCGCCGCGCGCCTTGTCCACTTTCACCAAATTTGCAGACGAGTCTGCCCCTCCCCCCAAGTGGGAGGGCAATTCCTCCTCCTCCTCCTCCAAGCCGCGCGCCTTGTCCAGGTTCACCGAATTTGCAGCAGTCGCCATGTCGTAACGTTCCGCCAGTCTGCGGGGGGTCTGCAGAGCCGCATTCGCGTTGATCTTGGGGTCATCGGGACGGCCCGATGCTGCCGCCGCGTGGAGAGAGGACAGACATACGAAGGTTAGGGCGAGGACGAAAACGAAGCGAAGACTCTTCGTTGGTGCCGCCATTGCTGCGTAGAATGATCGAAAAAGGAACGAACGGTGCAAAGCGATAGGTGATGAGAAAATCTCGATCCGATCGATAACTTGTGGTGGGCTATTACTAATCACTAGAAATTGCTGAGTGGGGAGTGACGACTGAAAGTGAGTATTGGTTTCTGGACACACGTCTTATAAAGGCAGAGCCGCTGCTTATGACCGCCCGATGCGGGCTCGTCTGTCTCCTTCGGCTCGCCAGGCCACTCTTCTTGACAGTACCAGTTTGCTCTCTACTCCACACACCTCAATAAATCGTACCTCAATAATTCATGTTACAATGGCTGAAAGGGGTGCTCGGCCGCTGGGGGGCAAACTGGTCGTGTCGCCTGCGCCAAGTGCGCTAAGAGTGGACATTGAAGGTGCGCAAAAAAATATCGCGCACTGACTGGAGCAAGGTTGGCGGGAACAGTTTCCAAACCAGAATTCCCAGAGGTGGGTGGAGTAGGGTGAACAGGTGTGTGTAGGTGTCGTGCTGTTGAGTAGAGCAATGTTGGCTGCGTCGCGTCACACACTCAACCAGACCTCTCGCCGCATCATGCGGCGACAGCGGAACTTGCGCTGTCCGTACTTGCGTCTCGCCAATAATTGCGGAACACGATAATGACACATGTAGTTACCAACTAACACGGTTTACCACCTGTTTCGTATAATTCATCAAGAAACATCTAGGTTTTTTCATATTAGGTTATCTAGATGCTTCCTTTAGCCAAACACCTCTGCTGCCCTAACCTCAGTGAGCTGCTCCTAAACGTTGAGAAACACCTGCCACTCTTAAGTTCTTTCGTGATGTTAAATTACGTCAGCCATCGCCTTTTGCAGTCAAATGGTCAATAAGTGTCGTTACAATTAGTCCCTCGGCTGTCCATGCCTCACTCATGTGTATCTCACTTCCCTATGCTTAGTCCCTCCTCTGTCCAAGGTGTATCTCTAATCTTATACGGGCGAGGGGTGAGGATTGAGTGAGCATACTCAACCCTCACGCATGTCTATCTCACTTCCCTATGCTTAGTCCTTCAGCTATCTCCTGTGCTCGCTCACCCTCAGCCATGCCACCGTGTCAGCCACTGTCGTCTCGCATGGCAGAGAGATGAGGTTTGAAAGGTTGATCCTGTCAATCTCTGTCTCCTATACTCAATCCCTCAACTCTTTCCTGTGCTCTCACCCTCAGCCATGCCACCGTGTCAGCCATTGTCGTCTCGTATGGCCGAGAGTCAAGCGTTGAAAGGTTGATCCTGTCAATCTCTGTCTCTTCTCAATCTCTCAACTCGCTCCTGTGCGCTCTCAGCCATGCCACTGTGTCAGCCACTGTTGTCTCATACGGCCGAGGCGCAAACCCAAACTCCTTCTCTGCCTTGCTCCAGTCAATGTACCTGGTGGAATATTGAAGAGAGGAGAAGGGTAGGGGACAGGTGATGGAGTGACTTTTGAGTCGACTCAAAAGTCCTTCTCTGCCTTGCTCCAGTCAATGTACCTGATGGAATATTGAAGAGAGGGGAGGGGAGGGGACAGATGATGGAGGTGTACTCATGCTCACTCACTCTCCCACTCTCATGCTCACATTTTTGCACTCACTCTTGCACTCCAGTGATCACACTTGCAACTAACTCTCACAGTTGTATTCTCACGCACTCGCACACACACACATACACACACGCACGCACACATGCACGAACACACACACACACACACACACACACACACACACACACACACACACACACACACACACACACACACACACACACACACACACACACACACACACACACACACACACACACACACACACACACACACACACACACACACACACACACACCACACACACACACACACACACACACACACACACACACACACACCACACACACACACACACACACACACACACACACACCACACACACACACACACACACACACACACACACACACACACACACACACACACACACACACACACACACACACACACACACACACACACACACACACACACACACACACACACACACACACACACACACACACACACACACACACACACACACACACACACACACACACACACACACACACACACACACACACACACACACACACACACACACACACACACACACACACACACACACACACACACACACACACACACACACACACACACACACACACACACACACACACACACACACACACACACACACACACACACACACACACACACATACACACACACACACACACACACACACACACACACACACACACACACACACACACATATACACACATACACACATACACCAACGCACTCAACTTCACTCTTACGTTCACTCACTCACACATACAAGCACTTACACACTCTCTCACACACAAACACACAACACAACCACTCTTTCACTCTCTCAGCTACCAGTAAACCTACGCCATTTCAAACACAACAGGGTGAACCAAGAAATCCTTTCGGCCAATCAGACTCTCCCTCTCACTCTCACTCACACACCTCACCCCCTCTCACACTCACACTAAATCTCACTCCCACTCTCTCCCTCACTCACCAATAAACCTGCGCCATTTCAACAACCACAGGGTCAAGCAAGGGGTCCTTCCGGCCAATCAGAGGCAAGAGTTTCGACGCAGTGGCGGCCAATAGCCACGCAATACCTGGCGGCACGAACAGAAACGGCGGCGCCACGTCAGCGCAGCGTGCGATGACGTGGAAGTAGTCGTATAAGGTCATGTTGACGGCTCCAAGGAGGTATGTGGCATTGGGAGCGGCGAATTGCATGGCAGCAATGAAAGTAGAGGCTTGCAGCCAGACGCACAGAGTGGGAAAAGGGTGGAACAAACTCGGATTAATACTGTTACAACTATTCCCACAGGGTAAGGGGCACATTAACTCTATAGAGGTATGTTGAGCTTTAAAACGGCAACTGGAGGAACACGTTGGCAGCATTGAAAGCAGAGGGCCTCCAGAAAAGGTGCAGCTGGTGGGGAACTTGGGGTCTGGTGCGGTGGCATGCGGTGGTGTGTGGTGGCGTGTGGAGGGATTGCAGTGCTATGTGGTGGTGTGCGACATGGATGGATGGGTTGGCTCCACATACCACCGCACATACCACGTGATGGAATGATGGGCGGCACATACCACGTCCCGCACGTCGACGAATGAGAGGCCGCCATATGGCACAAAGGGGATGCGCCGCTCCATGATGTCCAGCACTGTGCGGCTCGAGCTGAGGCGGTAGTCTCCTGGTAGGGGGAGTTTGGCGTGTGGTGTATGGCAGATAATACACAAAGGGTAGCGGGTGGGGACGTGGGGAGGAGAACACAGAAGGCTTGCACTCGGCGCCCCATGATACCCAGCACCGTGCGGCATGAGCTGAGGCGGTTGTCTCCTGGAGGGTGGGGTGGGGTGAGGTGGAGTGGGGTGGGGTGGGGTAGGGTGGGGTGGGGTGGGGTGGGGTGGGGTGGGGTGGGGTGGGAGAGAGGGGTGTGGGTATGCAGGGCTTGCTATCATCGCTCCATGATGCCGAGCACTTGGCGGCATGAGCTGAGGCAGTGGTCACCTGGAAGGTGGGATGAGTGTGGGAGTGAAGAGCAGATAATACACAGGTGAATAGGGGGAAGGCTTGCACTCATCGCTCCTTGATGCCGAGCACTTGGCGGCATGAGCTGAGGCAGTGGTGACCTGGTTGGGTATGGTGTTACGCATGGGGTGGGATGGGGGATGCAGTCACACACTCCATTACGCCGGCCATCATCCCAGCTGGATGCACCAGCCAGATCCAGCTGCTCGATGTGTCCATCAATCGTTGTTTCAAGGCGGGAGTGCGCGAGCGTTACTGCCGGTGGTTCATGCGGCACGGCATCAACCTCCGAACCCCCAAAGGTGATTCAACCCTCTCCCTATCACATGACACTTATGTGTAGTCCAATTATAGCAGTGCATGTTTGCCTGAAAACCGTGTGTGTGTGTCTGTGTGTATGTGTGTGTGTGTGTGTGTGTGTGTGTGTGTGCTTGTTTTCGGTACTGTATGTGCAGGGAACCTCAGGCGGCCACTGTTGTAGAGGACTCTCCTCTAGTTGGCAGGAACTTGGAGTTGTATAAACCACTAGAGCTCTGTCTCAGCTTTCCAACAAGCCGTCAATCACTTCGTTCGCCTAAGTAACGAGTGAGCTATGGCTGGAAACGTGAAGACAATGCTCTAGGAATAGAGATTAGGAGCTCTCTGGAATTTTGTCGAGTTGTACAATGTACAAGGAGATTCAGGATTTCACTATGATTCCATGCAACACAAAGCGCACAAATATATATGAACTGTAAACATCGAGTCGCACAAGTAACCTCGAACCGCGGTACACTCGCGAATGTTCGAGTAACATTTCGAAGGGGTGAAATTCGAGTCTTGAATTTCACCGAATCGAATTCTACTTCAGTCTCGATTGTTCTTGTGCTGCCATGTGGCACCGAAGTGCAGGTTCTTCCGAAGTCAACCTGCAACTTCACGAAACCTGCAATGAACATATTCGGAAGCAACACATTCGGTGGGTTGGGGGCATATCAATCGCCCCACCACCACCTTGCTTCCAACACACGCTACCTCCAACACTTCACCTTGCACCCAACCCACTAGGTGTGCAATCCAACATGCTCGTCGCATGCACGGGGTGGATCTTTAGGGGGTGGTTCCATGAGAGATTCCGCGTGTTCATCATCATCCTTGGTCGCGAAGCAATATGCCACGCCCTCCTTATCCTTCTCCCCAACGGCTACCGTAGCATAGTCGGCGTACTTGGAGGGAGGACGAACCTCACGACGCCCGCGGGTTAAAGCCAATGGTTGGGAGGAAGGTGTGGAGGTAGTTGCCGCCTCGGTTGGTGACACCTCCACGACATTATCAACGCTCTCCTCGTTGTTCTCTCCCCCTCCACCTTGGGATCCTTCTCCACTTGAGGTGGAACCTCACTTTCTTCAACCTCCTCTTGTGCCGGAAGGATGAAGGTGACTTGTTGAGTTGGTTTCTCCTTCGCCGGGAACTTGTCTTCGTCGAAGACCACATCCCGAGACGTGACGACACGTTTGTCGCCCAAGTCCCACACTCGCCACGCACGCTTGTTTGGCGCAACTCCCAAGAAGATCGCCGCACGAGCTTTCGGTTGCAACTTGTGGCGAAGAGGATCCGGGACATGGTAGTAGCAAAGGCACCCAATGGTGCGTAGGCGGGATAGATTCGGCTTCGTTCCGTTCCATGCTTCGAAAGGAGTCATGCCCGGGAGCACCTTCGTCGGCAAACGGTTGCGAATCCACGCCGCTAGCGCACTCGCCTCTCTCCACCACTCGTTCCCAAGCTTGGAGTGTTGAAGTAGTGAACGAACGGCCTCCACCAATGTGCGATTAAGCCGCTCCGCCACTCCATTTTGTTGGTGTGTGTAGGGTGTTGTGACGTCGTGCTTTATGCCCTTGCTCTTCATCCATTTTTCAAGCTCGTTGTTCACGAATTCGCCGCCACCGTCGGTGCGAATACACTTGATCCGCTTCTTGTCGTCGTCGCAAACATCGATCGCCCACTCTTAAATCGCCTTGGCCGCATCGCCCTTTGCCTTCAAGAGTCGGGTCCAACACATCCGCGTCGCGTCGTCGAGCATCACCAAGAGGAACCGTGCTCCTCCATTTGATGCGCACCGCATCGGTCCACACACGTCCATGTGAACAAGTGCAAGCGAGTCCTTAGTGAGGGGAGAGGTACGGCTACCAAATGGCTTTCGAGCCATATTTCCTTCGAGACACGCCGCGCACACGCCCTTCTCGCCATCGCCGGCGATCATGTTGACTCCCTTCGCAAGACCCTTGTTGGCCAACTCCTTGACCGACTCGTAGTTGGCGTGCGCAAGCCTATTATGCCACGCCTTGAGAGTCGCCTTGGAGCCTTGCGCCACGTTGGATGAAGCCGCTCTCGGGTACGTCTTGAGTTGGTAGATATCTCCGTTGAGAACACCTTGCGCGAATTGCTCCCCCTTCCAAAAGAGGTTCATCTTCGCACCGTCGATGGTGGCTATCACGCCCTTCTTCGCAAGTTGCGGGACGGATAGAAGGTTCACCTTCACCCCCGGGACGTGAAGCACGTTCATGACGTCCACCGGTCCGCTATCGACGATGAGGCGCGTACTCCCAACACCAACCACCGGTAGCGATTCGTTGTTTCCGAACACGATGCTCGTGACGTCTCCCGGAGCGCCAATGTTGTTGAGGAGCGACGCCGAGTTCGTCATGTGTTGCGTTGCGCCGGTATCGAGGAACCACGCGTCGCTTGGAGTTTTGTCCCCGTTGCTGGCCACTAACACGAGCGACTCCTTTCAATCATCGGCCTCGCCGGATGCCGTGTGCGCGTTGCCCTCTTGGTCCCGCGCCATCGATGGAGTCCAATTGCTCGGCCGCTTTCGACACTCACGCCAAAAGTGTCCCGGTTTGCGGCAATAGTGACACTTGCCGCGATGCTCGTTCCCACCGGACGATTCCTTCGTTGCGCCCTTGCTCCACTTGGACTTCTTTCCGGAACTCTCTCCGGAGTACATGGCGGCACCCTCGCTCTCATTAGCGAATTGTCGGCGACGCGATTCTTCATGGAAAAGCCGACCAACCACCATTTCCTTCGTCCAAGTGTCTTGCACGCTATCGAGTGTCGTAATCACCGTCGACCACTCTTCCAGAAGGCCGCATAGCAATGTCAAAACCCAATCCTCCTCCGTGACCGTTCCACCAAGGTCCATGAACGATTCCCCGAGTTCCTCCACACGAGTCGCATACTCGTGCATCGATTCGCCCGCGCGCATCTTCACCGTGTAGAATGCATTCCGGGCTAGGATCTTGCCGTGGAGAGTCTTGTTCACGTGGATGGTCTCGAGCCGCTTCCACGCTTCATGCGCCGACGCTTCGAGCTTGATGCACATGCGCACCGAGCTCACGAGATTGATGCCGATGCGCGAAAGCAACGTAGCGAACGCATTTTGGTCCTTCTTCTTCCATGCCGCGATGCCGCTCTCGTCGTCCGGCCTCTTCTCCGTTCCATCGAAGAAACCCCAAAGTCCCCGCTCCATCATGAGCACTTGGAACTTAAACTTCCACGCGGAGTAGTTTTGTCCTGTGAAAATCGGTACCGCCGACGTGTCGAACATTGTCGCGGTTGCCCGAGATTCGCCAGAATTTACAACGACACCATCCAAGGAAGTGCGGGAGGCCTCGCTTGACGTCATCATGCTTGCTCCTTGTCGCGCGAGTAGACTCCTCCGACCAGCTCTGATACCACTGTTGTAGAGGAATCTCCTCTAGTTGGCAGGAACTTGGAGTTCTAAAAACCACTAGAGCTCTGTCTTAGCTTTCCAACGAGCCGTCACTCACTTCGTTCGCCTAAGTAACCAGTGAGCTATGGCTAGAAACGTGAAGACTATGCTCTAGGAATAGAGATTAGGAGCTCTCTGGATTTTGTGTCGAGTTGTACCATGTACAAGGAGATGCAGGATTTCACTATGATTCCATGCAATACAAAGCACACAAATATATATGAACTGTAAACATCGAGTCGCACATGTAACCTCGAACCGCGGTAACCACAAGTGGGGGAGAACTAGGGGTCACAAGACCAGTCAAGTAAAGCAAAGCAAAGCAAGCTCAGGGTGGATCACAAAGTCACCACACATTCCGAGCACAAGTTCAAGGCCACAAGGCCAGTTCACATGCAGGAGTACATATATATATAAGGCTAGACAAGCAAGAGCAGGTATATATATATGTAACAGTACAAGCAAGGTCAAGAGGTGAGCAAGTGAGGCAAGACAGGTACAAGACCCAGCTGGGTGCAGAAGCGCTGAAGATCACAAGGCGCAAGTGCCTTGGTGAAGACATCAGCAGTGTTGGCCTCAGAGGCCGCGTACGCAAGCCGCAACTGACCACGCTGCTGTAGCTCACGAGCAAGGAAGTAGCGGAGAGCAATGTGCTTTGTTCTGTGCTCCATTCTCTGCTCTCGACACAAGGCCAGCATGGCCTTGTTGTCTACGTACAGGACTGGAGGAGAACGAGGCGGCTCTCCAAGGTCGGTCAGCAGGTAGGTGAGCCAGCGAAGCTCCTGTGCAGCCATGGCCCCTGCGTAGATCTCAGCCTCACAACTGGAGCCGAGAACAGAAGACGAGCGAGTAGCCCGCCACGAAACAGAGCCGGAACCAAGGCTGAAGGTGTAACCCTGTGACGACCGCTGCGTAGCCTGGTCGTCAGCCCAAGAAGCGTCTGCGTGACCAGTGAGGACCACTGGACTCCGCCCTCCAAGCACTAGCCCCATGCCCGACTTACTGCACAAGTAGCGCAACACCCTCTTCGCTGCAGCCATGTGCTTTGGTCGGTGTCTCCCAGGAGCAACATAGCGTGCAAGAATGCTAAGAGGGTATGCAAGGTCAGGTCGTGTGCAGGTCATCAAGTACATGAGGCAGCCAACAAGCTCTAGGTACGGGCCACTCGACTCTACGGACTAATCCGAAGGCAGAGCTGAGAGCGAGTGGCGAGTAGGCAGAGGAGTGGCATGAGGCGAGGAGTACGTGAAGCCGAAGCGCTAAAGGACCTGCTGCACCATGTGTGACTGAGTCACGGTGATGGTGCGGCGTGCTCTGTCCCGGGTGATCTGCAAGCCAAGGTAGCTGCGCAGTTCACCCAGGTCTGTGCACGTGTGTCTCTTCTGCAGTTCGGACTTCACGTAGGCGAGTCCACCAGTGTCAGCTGTGGCAAAGACCAAGTCGTCGACGTACACGAGGATGTAGAACGGCGGCAGAGAAGTGTCGGTGCATAGAAACAGCGACGGGTCGGCAGTAGAGGGAGCAAACCCAAGAGCCGCAAGCGTAGTCCTCAGTATGTCGTGCCACTCACGCGGTGCCTGGCGGAGACCGTAGACTGGCCGCCGGAGGCTCCACTGGGTGCCAGGAGGAAAAGTCCCAGTGAAGCCAAGTGGGCGGCGCAGCCAGATCTCCTCGTGCAGGCTGCCCTGCAGGAAGGCAGTACTGAAGTCAAGAGAGTGTAGCTCGTAGTCACGGTGAGCAGCTACGTGCAGTAGTACCCGAAGAGTGGTCATCTTCGGGGTGGGAGAGAAGGTATGAAAGTAGTCAACTCCCTGCCGCTTACTGAAGCCACGAGCCACGTAACGCGCCTTGAAGACAGGCGGAGAATCCGGCGGCCGCTTCACCCTGAAAATTCACATGCCACTGACGATGTTCGCCCCAGGAGGGGGGACAGCGTCAACGTAGGTGCCTATGGACTTCCACGAAGCCATCTCTGCATCCATAGCTGCCTGCCACTGAGAAGAGTAGGGACCCTCTATCGCCTCCGCGTAAGAGCGCGGAGTCAGGATGTCAAGTGCATCCGGGTCTCCCTCAGGGGTTAGCAGTACGGACACGAGATGAGGTGAAGCAGCGGCCAAGCACTGGAACTCCTCCTGCCTGTCCTCAAGGACGTCCGTGCCAAGGGCACACTCACCCCCGACGGACGGAGGACAGACAAACGCAGACTCAGCAACAAGACTGGCGGCGTAGTCTAGGCGACAGCGAGCAGCAAAGTCGACGAGCTCAGCAACTAGGGCAGACGTAGCAGTGGACTCAAAGGAAGGGTCAGTGACGACAGTAGCAAGGAGACGCGTGACAGTAGGACTGGCAGCACGAAGAGAGTCCGACTCCGGGTCGGCAAGAGCAGGAAGAGAAGACTCAGGAGGAGAAGGCAAAGGGGCACGCAGAGGAGCAGTGGACGGACGCAGAGACATCCGGTGCGTGCCAGGGACAGGAGGAGGACGCTGACGCGAATCGCAACCACTAGTGCGAGCAGTACGGACAGGCGACGCAGGGCGAGACGCAGGCTCACGACGCTGAGCAAGACCTCCAGTAGGACCAGTGTAGGGAGAAGGAGCAGGCAGTGGGGAGGCGGGCTGTAACTGTAACCGTGACTGGACAGGCTGTGGACACTCTAAGGGAGGAGGAGGACCGAGAGAAGGCGGGAGACCAAGAACCTGCAGAAGGAGCGGAACGAAGTACAGCCGCGGCCGTGCAGCGACTCCAGAACCAGCAGAGACACCAGCGCCAGGGTCTTCCGCACCAGCAGCAGCTCCAACGCCCGACTCCACAGCACCAGCTCCAGGGTCCTTAGCACCAGGAGCAGCTCCAACGCCCGGGTCCTCCGTACCAGCAGCAGCTCCAACGCCCGGGTCCTCAGCACCAGCAGCAGCACTTGCGCCCGGGTCCGCAGCACCAGCCGTAGCTCCAACGCCCGGGTCCGCAGCACCAGAAACAGCTCCAACCTCTGGGGCCGCAGCACCAGCAGAACTAGTAGAGTCTCCAGCACCAGTAGCACCAGCAGCAGCAGCGGGGTCCGCAACACCAGGCGCGCCACTCCGAAGAGTGCAGCGCCGCTTGTACCACTCACGGATCCGCTCACGGGAGGGGAGCTCCCGGCTAGGAGGAGAAGCACTAGCACCAGTCCCAGTAGTACGCCTGACTCAAGAGGTACCTCTCTTGAGGCTGCAGTACTGGAAGTACCACTCACGCAGCTGCTCCGAGGAGAGGGCTCCGCCAGGTGTAGGACCCTCAGGCTCAGGACCTCCAGACTCAGAACCCCCAGACTCCGGACTCTGCGGCTCAGCACCCCCAGGCTCAGTACTCCCAGGCTCAGCACCCCCAGGCTCCGCACCCCAAGGCTCAGCACCCCCAGGCTTCGCACCCCCAGGCTCCGCACCCGCAGGCTCCGCACCCCCAGGCTCAGCACCCCCAAGCTCCGCACCCACAGCAGGACGAGAGTCGACTGCTACCTCAACAGGCTCAACCGGGTCTACCTGAGACACACCTGAGGGAGCGGCACCCTGAGGGGGGAGGGGGTCTACGACAGCAGCACCTGGCGCGAGGAAGAGAGGCGGGGGCAGTGCGGTAGGGGAAGAGGCGGTAGTAGGGGACGACTCGTCAAAAGTGACGTCCTGAGAGGGCAAGACTTGGCGCGAGGTGGCGTGGTAAAACTGCCAAGCAAGCGCGTCCGGGACAAAGCCGAGGAAGACGCAGGGAACAGCACGGGAGGAGAGCTTGTCTGCAGACGTATCGCGGACAAAAGCTCGAGATCCCCAGACCCGGAAATGCGACGCATCGCCAACCTCCCCCGTCCACAGCAGTGTGGGTGAGGTCTCCGGCAGACATGCGAGTACCTGGAGCGGCAGACGCACTAGTCCTAATGCCCGGGTCGGGCGGCACACACAGGTATTCAGCACCCTCTCCACTAGTAGACATCACATACATAGCAGTGAGAATAGCATCAAAGTCTAGAGCATAGATATCAATCCCCTTCTTCAGGAGATCAACCCAGCGGGGCAGCTCAGTGGCCTGAGGGAACTGAACACGCCAAGCGTCGTTGAGACGAGTGAAGCAGCGCTGTGTGGCGTGCGGTCCCCCACACGGCTGACCAGTGCGGTCACCACTGCGAATGACGTACGTGCAGCTAAAGCCACCCCCCCCCCCCCCCCCCGTGCTGAGAGTACCACTCACGGACCTCCTGGGGCGACGGAATGTGCTGCTGGCTCTGGCCACCGCCAGTGCCTCCACGACCACCACCGCCGCCGCCACCCCCTCGACCACCCCAACCCCTGCCGCCGCCGCGTCCACCGCCACCCCCACCACCGCCTCCGCCCCTGCCACCTCCCACGCCGCTGCCGCCACCACCCCCGCCGCTGCCGCCACCACCCCCGCCGCTGCCACTAGCCCCTCCAGTCGCGCCACCACCCCCACCGCCGCCACCGCCCCCACCACCGCCTACCTCGCTGTCACCGCCACCGCCCTTGCCCCCTTTGCCCTTGCCGCTGCGGCGCCCGCTCGAAGCAGACGCAGTCCCGACCTTCTCACCACCAAGGAGGTCGACAGCAGCAGCAGAGGCGACAGAGGGAAGAAGGGGGGAAGGAGAACACCCCTCAAAGAACGGGGTACGGGGGTCGCCACGAGAGGCACCTACAGCGACTATGCTAGCCTCAGCTGCAAGGAGTTCCTTCTCGAGGAGGGCAATGGTGAGCTCAGTGGGGCAGCGAGCTAGGAAGTGGTCCCTGACAGAGCGCAGAGTGTCAGGGAGGCGCGTGACTAGGTGGTAGAGAGTGAGCCAGAGTGGGGGTGGGTTCTTG